GCCCATGGTCTGAAACCAGTAGACTGCTCTCGTGCGCCACCTCTTATATTGCGCCCCCTTAAAGGCAGGTGGCTTCAGATGCGCAACAAAACCACTCAAAGTAAATTGCCTATAATCAGGTTTTAGGATTGTTGGAAATATAAGCAAATTACTACGAAATTTAAACCGAGTGAACAGAAGATAAATCATGACAGCACTAGTAGAGATTAAACTAATCATGTGAACTAGCATAGCAGATGAACAGATCACATCTAGGGCACATACTAGAAACATGAATTCTACCACAATCTCGAACAGGAAAGATAGAATCACATACGATGCAGCGGGAGCAGCACCGTCGGCGTTGACGTTGTCGCCCATGTCGTCGAGGATGAGGTTGCCGTGGTCGGGGAAGAAGTCGTCGTTCGCGAAGTCGTCGCTGCCAGCAGTCGCGCGGGTGCGCTCCCCAAAAACCTGATCGCCCCTCTCCCGTACAGGATCACGAGAGGCGGAGTTTCGGAGGCCTACTGTCCCTTCTCCTGGTGCACGCCGAAAGGAGGGATGGAGCGGCTAGGGTAGACGTATGCCTGACTATATAGTGCGGGCCGGGTAGATCGTGGGAGTAAACCCCACGTCCGAGTCATCACGATCCAAAAGAATCGAAAACGGTTCAGTAATTAACGCGTCCGTTAATTATTAATTAATGACTCATTAATTTTTCCCGAGCAGCAAAAATATAGACAACGTGCATAGCTCTGTCCTCGGCTCGGCTCAATCCCGCAACTCGCGTCGCGTCGCGAGCGAGGAGGAGGAGCGCACGTGTAGGTTTCCTCTTCTCATGCTCGTACAAGTGGTAGAAGAGCTCACCTTATAAAGAGGTGCAACTCTCTCTCAACTTATGAGATGGGACTAAACTTTAGCCTCACTCACTCCACTCACATGTGTGCATGAATGGGCCAAGAGAATTTCAGAATTTTAGTTAGGCTTTGGACCAAAGGCCTACTAGCAAATTCCAACACACACCGAACTTTCTCCCAAACCAAAGTGACTTATCGACCAGCCATTATACAACAAGAAAAAAAAGCCCAGGAACGAAGAACGCGCGGCACCTTCTAGTCTTTCTTCATGCATGCTCTTCTCCTTGATTGGTCTTTCGTTGCGCGAGCACATGTACACGAGTGACTGCAAAACGTCTGAAGATCGGTGAGCCAAGCGTGTAGTGTAGTACTCCCTCCGTCCAGAAATATTTGTCATCAAAATAAATAAAATGGAATGTATCTAGATGTATTTTAGTTTTAGATACATCCTTTTTTGTTCATTTTGATGACAAGTATTTTCGGACGGAGGGAGTACCGTCCGTCACAGTGCCGTGTTCCATGTGTCCATCAAAGAAACAAACGAAATACATTTCCGTAACTTCCACGCACATGAAATGAAACATCCTTTTCCGGACCGACGGACGAGGTGGACGTTGGCGTCGTTTCCACCAAGCGCTGAAAAAGGACGAGGTTTTCAGTTTTCACCAAGCGGTAATAAAGGAGGAAAAGGTCTTCACACAGATTTCACCAAGCGGTGAAACGCACACGGATTTGCCCGTCAAGCAAGCGCTGCAACGTTAGTCAAAAAGAGCGATCGCATCGGCCGTAAAACCCCAAGTTTCTACCGCGGAAATTTAGTGGCGAACCGCGTAAAATCTGAATCTGTGCAATGTTGCTGTCAAGCTAACAAACAATGTTTCCGGGCCATGGATCCTGACGAGAAGTCTTATCTAGCGATTCGAACGTGGGAGACGCTAAGATATGTTTACGCTACTGGCCCGATCGCCCTATCTCAATCGCGCGTCAAAAGCCAGCATCATTAGCTCTACCAGTGATACAGCCAAAGCGTGGTGTCGCACTCCCACTCCGATTCCATTTCAGTCGCCAGTGCCGGCGCTGTAGCAGAGTGAAAATAACGTGTTGTGCTAACCTTCATTTTATTCTTTCAAGAAACATAATTTCCCCGAGAAACCTCGGTGCTAATACGTGAGCTTTGATGTTCGCAATCTACTGCTACGAGGCCTTGTGTTGCTATGGAATAGCAAAAAGGTATGAAATTGAGCTCTTTTTAGGGTTTTTTAACACAATACAAACACAAACGCTTGTACATACGCACATTCACTCACCCCAATGACGCACGCACACATCCTACCGCTATGAGCACCTTACTGAACGCACATCGCCAGATGGCCTGAAATAAATCCAGAAAATTCCATCACCAATGTCAAGTCTAGAACTTGAACCCTTGTGTATTGGTTCTAAACCTAATCGTACCCTAGGTCAGCTGGGTTTTGGGCTGGGCTTGTCAAAGCCCGAAGCAAAAATCCCAAGCCCGAGCCTGAAGCACATGAACAGTTGAATTTTTCAATTAAAATAACTATATTAGGGCTTTATTCGGGCTTTTGGCGAGAAAATGGAGCCCGAGCCCGACCCGAATGACGGGCTTTCGGGTTCGTGCCTCCGGGCCAGGCTGTTCATGCACAGGTTTAGTTGGTTCCACCAAGTGGAACCTAACCATCTAAGCTACGCTCAGTTCATGGTACCTTTTCTATTTGACAAGCATAGTAGATAATATAAATACTTCTCTCTTTGTGCGATCAGTTTTGAACTTCAAATGTTGTCTAATTTTTTTTCCACATATCAACTCAACTACCTAAAACTGCACATCTCTTAGCCCTGAGTTGCAATATTGAAAATTGTGCCATATTGGCAAGCACAACTGTGACATCTAGAGTTCAAGCTTTATATGAAGTGGTGTGTGGGATAAGAGTGTGTTTGATTGAGTTGTGGATTTTGAAAAAACAGCCATGGGCTATGAACTATGAAAAATCTGAAAGTTGTTTGGTTGAGTCAGCTTTGAGAGTGTAGAGTTGTCATGAACTGTCTGTAATGTCCATGGGACTGAAAAAATATGTTTATTTTTTGAAAAGGAGGATTATCCCCGGCCTCTACATCAAGTGATGCACGCAGTCATTTCATTATTTAAAGTGGCAAAAAGTATGAAACTCATCTCAGGCACAAAAGCATAAGCATAAGCGGATCATGAACAAATACGTTTGTAAGCTAAAATTGAGCGTGAAGCAGTGATTTGTACCACTGGTTCAAGCATTGAGCATTATTCACATTATTTTCGACAGGTCATGTACCTCTTCTTTGTTAACGAAAACAACTTTTCAAAAAAAATGTATCTTTTCCGATAAGGGGCGCTTTATTACTTAAATAGATGTATCTACTAGAAGAAGAAAAAACACGTGTGCAATCACAATTTGCATAAAGAAAACGTCTGCGGTAATCTAGTCCTTGTTTGATGTTGTTAAATCTCTGATGTGACATTCTAAATCTAGTCCTTGCATCCATCGGAGAGGTAGTGCCCGTACTTGTCCGTGAAGATGGCGATCCCGGGACAGTGAAAGCCATCTTCTGTGGCCTCTGGACACTCCATGTTTTTGTCATCTGCCAATCCAGGCGCAGCTGATTCAGGCCCTTCAATTCTGAACTGTAAATCGAGACCTGATTACAGCGACGCCACTATGCAATCTCAGCTCAGCTCAGACGGAGGCGATAAGGACTGTTTCTGAGCATGAGCTTTTTGCTGGCTCCTAGGTTTCGATTGGATGAAGAGTTATTAATCGGTAGAGTGGGACTCACACACACACACCGGCTCGCGGCACTGCAGAGCTGCATCTGCATGCCGAGCTCTGCCGGATCTGGGACGTGATGCATGTGTGCGTGCTTGAGCAAATCTCCCCCCGGATTTGCCTTGGGGTGATTTGATGCACTAGCTACCAGTAGATTCAGAAAGATGGACTCAATAGCGCGGCCGCCGGGCAGCTCGATAACGCATAGCGGTTGCACGGCTCAGCTGTCGACCAACGATTGATTGATTGATGGGAGCGAGCTAGAGCCAAGTTTATGGCAACAGCTAAGCACGCCTCGGCTGTCGACGATGATTGACGAGTGAGCGAGCGAGCTAGGCACGCACGCACGCAAGCACGCATATGGTTATCTACCAGATGTGGATGATCGAGCGGCACGCGCACACGTGAAGAAGCTTACGACAATAGCCAGGCGTAACAAGACGGCTTGCACTTTTTACACAATGCGCATTTTGTTTCGTTAAGAAAACCTCTAATCAATAACTACTTCTTCGACATGTGGATTATATGTTATAAAAGATGGCAATCACGAGAAAAGTACTTTCGGAAACGAATATTGTGACATAAATTTCATGGCACATAAACACCTGTTTGTGTTAAATAATCATCGGCCAAAGTCTTGTCTTCACGAAACGAAAAGGCAAATCTCCAAAAGAAAAAAAGGTGACTACATTTCGAGGGTTTCCAGCCAAGTGACAGCTCTTCCTTGTACAATCCCAAGTGATAATTGCAGATTCATTTATTAATGGAATTCATCTGATGAGCGAAGACCTTTCTCGGGAGATTCTGCAGGGGTCCTTTTAGTGGAGCTACAGTACCACTACCAGCTGGTCTGTTGCAGTGTCCTGTAATATTAATGCCGCTGCGTGGTTCCATGCTTCATACAGCTCGTGATGAGCGAAGACCTTTCTCGGGAGATTCTGCAGGGGTCCTTTTAGTGGAGCTACAGTACCACTACCAGCTGGTCTGTTGCAGTGTCCTGTAATATTAATGCCGCTGCGTGGTTCCATGCTTCATACAGCTCGTGATGATACTGCGGCACCATCTCCTTTCACTGCCATGGCTACAGATATAATGGTGCAGTATCGATGTGCAAGGTAAATTTAACAGGGCTCAGCTTAGGACACTCGAGTATCTCAAGACAACAGCACAGGACAGGGGTAAGGAGATAAACATAAAGATGAAACGTTGGCAGGGGAAATGCCTCAGAAATAAGCAAAGAAAACTCTCCGTTGAGCACCATTTTGGCACATCATAGTGCTAGCTCATTTTCAGGATCTACTGGTCATTCAATGGTCGCTTACATGGTCTTCCACCTGAGTGTATGCTACAGGTATTTCCTTGCAAGAGACCTGACCTTGGTATTGAAATGAGAGGATGTGATGCGAGAACCAGGCAAGTAGAGTGGATTAAGGAATATCTGCACAGCAAAACATGCACAAATATAAGCAGAAATCTAGCACGACCGCGCAAGCAACAAGAATGCTGGAATGCATGACAACATCCTGATCCTTATGCAGCTCTATCATGTATAAAAAGGGCTCATGCCACACTACTGAAGTTTTTTCATCCAGCTGCAAATAGTAGGATATGGACATAGAACATAGGAAGCATACCACCATCATCTAAAGATGGCATTTCAACGCGTGTATTTTTTTTATATATTCATATGAATGTCTGACTTAGTTTAGAACAGCAATCAAAATAAATGTAGCTTTCTCAGTACACAGCTAACAGTTTACCTTGATGTAAAGTTCGTGAACTTCCTGAAAGAAGCTTTTTATACCATCTTCACTCCGTGAATCATGAAGCAACATAAATCTAGTATGTGATGAACTGGCTGTTAAGAAAACAACTAGCAAAGTGCCCGTGTGTTACAATGGATCCAAAATAGATAATACATGCTCAGAAACTTGAAACAAAATCATGCGTATATAAATATATTCCTCTTGTTTGTTTGAATGAGGCAGGGGAGGGACGAAGATGGTCTCTGCGGGACTAAGGGGTTTTCTGCAAATATGGAGCAGAATGGTCATATCCTTTGCAAAAATATCACAGCTTGCCTCACAATGTTTTAGGTGCAGATTGTAAGGTCAGAATGACGGATGGCAGACACACCACCATCACCAACTGTTTCTTTATATATAGGAGTCAAGATAATACTACTATGAGGAAAAATTTAAAGAAATGTAGCAAGGGCAATCACGGTTATGAGTTATCACTCTCACAGGAATTAAAGACATACACAAGACCCCAAATTTACCTGTTACGGCAATATCTTAAGTCGTTTGCAGACAGAATAATGATAATTCTGATCAAAGGAATTATCACTAAATTCTCGCATTTCTAGATTCTTTTGCTGCCAAGACATCACACAAGATTTCGGCTCTCTAAAAAGACACCACATATAAGCACTCAAAAGGATATGACCAGCAGTTACATAAACAGACACCACAAGATCGTTGAATCTATCTACTGACTTCAGAAACCTGAAAATGGCGAAAAAGAGGAATAGTTATGTGAAGCAAGAAACGAGAAAAACTACAAGGGGGTCTACATTGAATCTTTGGATACACCTGACTGGGTAATGACAAATCAACAACCACTCACATTGTACTTGTAGCCCATGCAAGGTCCTGAACAACATCTAATGCAGCATGCAAAATGAACTGATGCTGATAAGCCTGATCTTCTTTCTGCGAGAGGAAGTAAATTGGGTCATCATGAAACAACTGACTGAACATACGCTAATAGGATGACCTACAGGGAGAGGTAAATGCAATGCATGCCTCTACTGTCAATCATATACAAAATATAAATATGAGAAGTGGTGCATGCATTCTCAGTTGATCTCACATTTCTAGCATTCACGGTGAATGGCTCACCCTTTCTTTGAACCTTGTCAACGATCGAACAAATTTACAGATATGAACCGGGTACCATTTGATTAGTAAGATTGTCAGAGGTAGAGGGGTATGTAAAGGAGGAAGTAATGAAAGAGGAAGCAATTGCTAGTAGTAACAACTTGTCATGATCATTGGTTCATATAACATCCATGTCCTAGGTATTATAAAAATATAATATTATTTTTGCTAAGCAACTACAATAGAATAGAATTTAAGAGTCCACCTCGGGTCTCGAGACGAAGAGGTTACTAATTATGCCTCTATGAGGGGGAAATAATGTGATAAGATCACAAGAGTTGCAAGTTTTCATCATTTGGTTATCTTAGAAAATAACTGTAAAGCTACATTTGATGTTTATAATACAGATGAACAATTTATTCTTGCTCGAGATGGGATGGACTCATGGATAGTAGATGTCCCATAAAGTAAGGTTGCAAACCAGTGATAATACTGTAATGAACAATACATGTGCACATTAATACATGATCTACCTCCAGATACAAGATTACATGCATCGTGGATTCCATCAGTAGCAAAGGAATATGGGAACAAAACTAAAATGAATATTTAATAAAGGCACGTATAAAAATACCACAAATGTAAGAAGTGGAGTAGAATATACATTAATTACTAAAGGGAACAAACTGAACGAATCATACTTTTGGAGCGGATCCAACTTCAGCATCATAGATTGGGATATCATTCTTACTGACAATCACAAAGCATGCTGTGCTCGCCATATCTGACAGGAAAATTGCAATTTGTTTATCTGAAAGTAGTTTAAAATTGTCGCTGACACTGAAACACAAATATCATGACTACACAGCTAAAGCAAATTCATTTTTCAAATATTTGAAAATCACATAAGCATGAGACATGAGTAAAGCAAACTACCTCGCCATGATACTATTATACATCAAGACATTAAGAACCAGGAACAGCCAAACAGTTGAAGTGTGTCATAATAGTAAGTAGCAGCAAGATTAATATCAGAGCATTCACTTAGCTAATATCAGATATATGATACAATATACATGCCAAGTAAGTAAGAACGTTACAGGGTTTAGACAATTCAATTCATTTTATCCACGAAACATTTGGCTTATGTAGTTTGCAAGTACAAAGCTACAAGCATCAATAGAGCTAAAGCTAAAGCAAAAATCAGGGAAGGACAGCTATTTGTATGAAAAGATAGAAAATTGGAATTTTGACCATAAATACTCTTAACTCTTTTAAAGAATATTTTTTGGTAAAAATAAATACCATAGATACCCTTAGCTGCCTAGCATCCAACATAGCACAGTCGTCTTCTTAAAACAAAATAATATTTTTTGGTAAAACTATGCAGTACACTTTTAATTGCCGACTTAGTAAGAATGACAAGACGTTATTCTTTAACTAATCTGTCAGGTGAAAATTCCCCAATCATATAACCGGTGACGACACCAGTGCGCACTTCTGGGCGACTACACATCTTTTTGGATGCCTGCACAAAGAGAGCTAAAATTGGTGAACACCAGGATGCATTCACTAGCTGAAGGGATCTACGAGTTGATGGATGGCTAAAATTGGCTTCCAATGACTTCCGACTTTACACTGTCTCTGGGATTGGGAATGCTAGAGATCAAGATTGTCAGCTAACAAACCAGACCGGTGATTTTGGGGAACATAAAATCTACATGGCTAAGTAACCCCCATCCTGGCTAATTTGAGCCTAGCTGAGTGCATGCCAGTAAGGGATGTTTGGTCATCCCTCGCCCGTTTCAGTTGGCCATGGCTGAGTGAAAATGTTTCTGGGTTGGCTGCATTACAGGATTGGTGGGGATGTTGCATGCGAGAGCATGTTTGGTTGGATTTGTCCGTAGATATTGCGATCACTATTTCTACAGGGTGGTGAATTTGCCCCCTTATGTTGTGGGGTGGGTGGTTTGGAAAACAGCCAAGTCCTTGTGATTAAAAAAATTGTACTACTTTGAATCTAAGTTGACTACTTATGTTGTTTCTTAGGAAAATGTACAACAGCAGCCACTCAGCCGTCTGTAACGCATGCCACATGGGATTTTTATCTAGGTGGAGGGGAGAGAATGAAGATAGAGGAGGAGGGTGTCTATAATTCATCAGACAGTCGATATCCAAAAATATCGCTCCTTATATACAGCCATTTATCTCCTCCGTCGAACCATCATATCCCGTGCTCCAACATGGTGATTTCTTTTCCTTTTTTATACTGCCTACTCCGGCGAGACCTGCACAACATTGCGCTGCTTGGATCGACGCCGAGGCACCACTAGCCGGCCGAGGAGCATCTGCCATGGATGGCGGCGAGCACATGTTCTGCTAATTTTGGGGGCGAGCACTAGGGTGGAGGAGCGGTGGCGGCCAGACTGTGCAAGGTTTATTTTCAGTTGCTAATTTTGGGGGGTTGCAGATAGAACATAGACAGACTGTTGTACAGGGAGTCTTTAATGCTGTCTAGAGGTGATTGCATCAGACGGGGTTATCTAAACTACTGAACATGTCTTTATGCACCATCAGGATGTAATGCTGTAGGCACGCTGCAGTTAGAATTCTGATCTATGCGCAATTAAAAAATCGAAGGGGGCTCTACAAATAATAGCACTCGGAACTGTTTGGGATCGAAATCGCATAACGAAAAATCACGCGAATCCTCGACGCTGCAAATGAACAACAAAATTGACAGGGAAGCAAAGACCGGATTGATAGGACCACCGCGCTCAGATTGGTCAGAGAATCCCGTTAAACTTACCTCATAGGCTAGAGGAGTGGAATGAATGGAGGGCGGAGAGATGCAAGTAGCGGCCGGAAGCACGACGGAGGTCAGCAGAGGAAACCCTAGCTTGGACGAAGACGGGGAAGAAGGTTTTTTTTAGATGGGGAAGGAGGTGTCGAACGAGTAGTTTTGGCCCTTAGAACATCCCCCGTACACCCAGTCCCACAAAAATCGGTTTAAAGGATACCGTTAAAAAAAATCACATTTTTACTGTATGACTTTTATTCCGGCAGAATAGATCCTGTAAAATATTTTATTGTCTCCTTAAAATTGCACAACCCCCTAAAAACTTTTTAGTTAAATTACAATTGAATCCGTCTCGACTGCTCCCATCGCGAGGATCTCGTCAGGGACAGAGGAGGCGCGCATCTTGCCGATGACGGCGCCGTCGTGGAGCAAGACGAGGACCACAGGGACGAACGCAACGATAGCTAGTTTGCGGCGATGGCGGCGGCGGCGGCAGCTAGCTTGCTCGTGACGCAACGACTGCTAGCTAGCTAGCTAGCTCGCGGTGGCGACATTAGCAGTAGCTAGCTAGCTCGCGGGCCCCGATGGGTGACGATGACGGTGTGCGGCAGCTCATGAGCGATGGCGGCGACGTGCGGCAGCTCGCATGGGGCGGCAGCAATGAGATTTGATCGGAATCGAGCTCGAGAAGTCCATGGCGCCAGTTGCGAGGAAAGCGGTTGGGATTGAAATTTCCCTCCCGCCAAAATAAAGGGGAGCCTCCAAAATCGGGCTTCTCAAGGGGAGCCTCGATGTAGAGGAAATGGGCTCGCGAATTCGGGATCCCACAAAAAAAAATTCAGGACGGTCGGATCTGGAGGATCTGTTTAGGACGGGTTTACGGGATCCCACAAACCGGCGGTTATTATACCTGAGGGCCTGGGTTGCGGGATATGTTACAGATGCTCTTAGGCCATGCACGTGCTTAAGTTGCTTAGAATAATAAACCGTGATTCTTCTAAGCACTAGTGCTTATCTCTACTCTTAGAGTGGGGCTTGGTAGCTTCGTCTTTAGGGTTTAATTTTGTCTCGGTTTTTCGTCTCACCCCCACCATCTACCGCTTGGTTTTTTTCACCCACCAAAAACCAAGTCGCATGACCCCTCTCTTGGTCATGTCTCATCTTCTAGGGTTCATCGTCGCCGCCTCCCACACCAAACCCAATGGGGCGAAGATCCATCTATCTAGACTAGATCGATCTCTTCTCCCGTCGATGACGAACCCTAGCTAGCTTTAATCGCGTGTGGTGGCTGTGTGCGGCGGCGGAGAATGCGAGGCGAGAGCTGTCGGGTTTGTCCGCCTCATCGTGGCTAATGGTCGCGTCGACTGTGTCCGCGTCCTTCTCTGGACGACGGCGCTGATGGAGGGAGCCGCTTGCGCTGGCTAGGATCCCGATCGATGGACGCGCCGGGTTGCCGCAAACCCTAGTTGATGATTTTTTTTCACACTTGAAGGTGGGAAAGGAGAAATCAAGAGCAAGTAAGGAAATAGTCGAAATTGTGTTCATGGGCGTAACAGGATTCTTATTATCATGATATGCAACAACATGTTAACGGAAGTTATATACACATTGGTTCGTTAGTTGCAAACTTTTTCGCGAATACGTAAAAGGCTTACGTATCATTGCATTGATAGGTAGAGAGATGAGTTCCTCCTCAAGTTCTCCATCGCCAATGATGAGTTCTCCGTCATCTGCCATGGGCGCGATGAGTTCCTCCTCAAGTTCTCCACCGCCGATGCGCGTGCCAGGGTGGGGCTGCGCCCGCCGCGATCCCCGCGCTTTCGCCTCATCATCCACCCTTGGAGCCGCGCGGCCGGCTGCGAGCCCGTCCAGCTGCGCTTCCGCGTCGAGGTCGAAATCACCGGGATGCCTGACCAAGCGTGGCACCGCTCCGCCGTGGAGACCTTGCTCGCCCCGTACCTCGACATTGAGCACCTGCACCCCGCCACCCACAACGGCTCGGACATGTCTAAGTTCAAGTTCTCTGCTTGGACCGCCAACCCCGACGCCATCCCCCGCTCCGCCGACCTACTCCTCCCAGAGCCCGACGCTGTTGAGGCGGATGCTGATCCTGACCGTGCGGAGCGGTTCGTTCTCCGCACGCTGCACAAGCCGGTTCAGATCTTCGTCACGCTCTCCGAGGACTTTCGCCTCCCGGCCCCCGCGCCTGCGCACGGCCCGGCGCGCGCCCCGGACAGCCCTGGCGACGACGACGGGGCGGCCTCTTGCCAGCCCTCCCCCCTCTCCCCCCTGCTTGGCCGCAGCGCCACTCTTTCCCGCGACGCCCGGCGCCACCGACCCGCGGAGGCCCGGGTCCGGCCGGGCACGCCGGCCGCCGCCGTCGCCACCGCCGAACGCGTCCTCCGTTCCGTGGCTGGCAGGGGATCCTTGGGGCCCACCTGCCCACTGTTCCATCGCTGCCTGCTGGCCACCCATCGCCCAACGGCTCTCTGGGATGCACACCCGGGCCAGCCACGCTGGGCCCTCGTCATCCCCGGGCCCCGCCTCACCTGCCCTATTGACGCGGTCGCCCTCGTCATCCCCGGGCCCTGCCTCACCTGCCCTGTTGACGCGGTTGCCGCACCAGGACAAATCTCCGCTGCGCCAAGACAGCGGTTCCCCTCGATCTCCCCCGCACCCTGACTGCGGGAACCAATCACCGCTCGGCTCCCACCCCGGTCCACGCCTCGGATCCCCTGCGGGCCCTGTCGCGGCCAATCCCGACACACCCGACAGCGCAGCTGTCACGGATGGGCCACCTGAGCAGCGCTGCACCAACTCCAGCCCACCCGCCTGTGGCCGATCTGTCCCTGCGGGCCCGACGAATACTCCTAACAATGTGGTGGCCACGGAACCAATCAGCGTCCACGACACAGATCCTGCCACCAATCATGTCGTGCCCTAATCATTGTCCCACCCGCCGCTCGCTCCCTCGTGCCCTCC